TAAAATATTATACTGTATTCCTTGCTCCAAAAAAATTAAATTAAACGTTTCAACAAACGTAGAAAGTAGTTTTAAAAGTTAGCAAAAAAAAATATTAAGAAGCACAGAAAAATAATAAAAAATTCTATCGATTGTTTCAAAGGAAATCACTGCAGAATAGGTGGACATCCAAACACAAATAACATATCGTTTTCCAATACAACCTCACGCATTAGTATTTTTGATATAATTTTTGTATTATATCAATTAAATTTAAGGTTGCTTTAATGTATAATAAAAGTTAAAAGTTTAATGAAGACAATTTGATCACGGTAGAAAAATATAAAAATGAACCGATTGTTTCAAAGAAAAATGACTGGCATGAATCGGCGAACCTCAAAACATCATTTGTGATCTATTTATTGTATTAGAGCAATTAAATATTGTATTATGTATCAGAAAATTAAAAAAAAAACTATGCATGGGAGAAAAATAGTATAATTTTGTTCAAACAAAAATAGCTAATGACAAATGAGTGGGCAAAAACATATCAAGAATATCTCGTTTTTCAATGTAACTTAGGCATATTAATATTTTTCTCATTAATATATTTATTGTTTTAAAAAAATTAAAAAAAAAACATTATATAAGACGAGTTAAAAGTTTATAAAAAAAACTCGAATCGTATCGTTTCTTTTAAGAAAAATGACCGCAAAAATCACTGGACATCAAAACATCAATAACAGCACAGTTTTAAATATGACCTTACGCATGAATATATTTTTAACTTATAATATATTAATACTATGTATTACAGCAATTAAATAAAACAGACATCTACTTGTATAAAATAGTGTAAACTTTTGTACAATATCTTGGAAAACAGCCTATAGGAATTAAATAATGCATCTCAAGAAGTCACCTTGTTGTTTAGTTAATGAAATGAAAAATGTATACTCAATTTTGGGTAAAATTCTTTAGGCGCGAATAGAGTGTAAAACCGTACAAATGTAAATCCGTAATCGTACCGATATCAACAAGGAAATCGGCATAGATAACATTTTAAAGTTACATCGTAATACAATCTTGATTTAATAAAAAAATGCCTGAATCAAAAGAATATTTTACCCTGTCCCCCATAAATAATTAGAATGAAAATAATAAAAACAAATGCAGCATTTGCGCCGTGTATGAAACATAAGTTTATTGAAATAATTTCTTTATTATTTGTAGTTTTTATAAATCTTTGAAGTTATTGAAATGGAAAATATTTTTACGGCAAAACAGATATTACAGCTGTTCAAAGAATGAGATTATATCGCCAGCGAAAAAGTGAAATCAATCAATGAATGTACGTTAATTTTAATTACATTAAGTTTTTCAAACACAATTAATACATGATGAGTATTTTATTTTTACTTAAATGTCATCTTGTACAGTTGCGAATAAATTTTACTTCAATCACGTGTGAACCTTACGCAATCAATTGTGAATCTAGCAGTATATATGCAAACATTAACAACTACACGGATATTAGAAATTCCAATAATTTTTTCCCAAGTCTGTATTTCATACGTATCAATTAACTGCATACCTCTACTACTATACGTTTAAACTAATATTAAATTTAGACAATATAAGATACAATTTGTACTTTCTCTAAATTTACTGAACTTCTGATCTAATATCCCGCATTAAATGCTCTTATAACAGTACCCAGTATTCCGCTCCGGTTCGATTCAGATGTAGATAACTATACAACAAAGGCGTAAATCGTAAAATTTTATTATTTATACCCATCAATTCGCACCTACGCGAATTCTGCAAGTAAGTAACAACGGCCCAAACTACACAGGAGAGATTTATATCGTGAGGAATGATCGATCGCAATGCTGGCGCTTTGATATACGAATCCGCGTATCATACACCGGCTAGTACAATGTACCAGTACACTTGTAGGCATGGTTACACACGAATAGATTTATAATGATGTGCAATGTTTATGATATCACGACGGAAAACTCGATAATGATGCTTCTTTGAGCATTGGACCTGTAGCAGGAGAGCTGGAATGCACATGAAATCATTTTTCCTGAGCAAGTTTGCAAGTCTATCACACTGGTCAAGGAAACGCCCATAAATTTCGTATTATATTTTATTGTCTCAACTCGGCCGTTGAAATTCACGTTTCGGTTGTTAAAGTGCAAAATATATTTTTTTTAACTTCCAAGATATAAAAAAAACCATTTATGTTTATTATCTATATAAAAAAGAATGTGTTCCGAAGTTTATGTGAGTATTTCTGCTTTGCTCTAATTTGGTAAAGCTTTAGTGGAGCCTACACGATCAGAAAAGATTCCCACGTTTAGTATTTGAATATATTCTCTACGTTTCATAAAATTTATAAGGAAGTATAATTATACTTTATTAATTTCCCGTAGGGCAAGTTATAGTAATCGCAAAAAAATCCAAAATAAAATTTTTTATATATCTTTACGTTCCCAAAGTTTCAGAACATTTTGGCATACCTTAGAAAAAATTGATGTGTGTGTGCGAGGATACAAATTTTCGTCGACTATCCGGGAACACGGATCAACCGATTTGAATAATTCAAAAAGCATTCGATTCGTATTGATAAGGAGACGTGCTGATTAGTGTTTGACGAAGACAGGTTTAGCCGATCCGAAGGTACGAGCCAAAAGTGCCAAAAACGGTAACTCAGTTTTTAAGAGAACGGAGCGTCCGATTTTAGTAATTCAGAAAACATTTTACTTGTATTGACAAGATAAAAAAGTGATTAAATTTTTGGGAGGGCAGGTCTAGCGGTTATGGACTCTCAATAAAAATAAATTTAAAAAAATGCCTTTTGGCGCTCAAAAATGTTTATTGGACATATGCACATCAAACTATCAGATTTTCATAATGTGTGCACATTTCGTGTGATTTTTTGTTTGGGTTTCGTATCTAGATTTTTAATTACGGTGCGAGAAGTTCCAGTAATTTGCCTTAAGCCACGATGCCATGCACTCCACTAGTAATATTAAGTAACCGAAGTCGACACAAAATCTCGAATTTCGGAAATAAATTCAGAAAAACTATTACAAATTATTGCGATAAATTGGTATAGATGTCCAGAGAAATTTCACATTATTGTGTTAGCCATGAAGACAGCGATCTTCATGGCATTGAGCTTTTGTACCGGGAGATTGCTACCCCGAAGAACAAACTTATTTTTCACTTCTAAAACGACGGTTCGCGTGATAACATGTATAATAAATAAGTAAAAAATAGATGCAATATTCAATCAAGTAAAATCAGCATTTGTAGTAAGAATTTTCAACAAATACATAAATTCTACGAATAAATACATTCCACAGTTACAAAGGTTGAATTAAAATTTAACAATCTGGTCTTCAAAAGAGTATCTATCCATGGTCCTAATGATTATTGTCAAATACTACAAGAAAGTCAATAACAATGATCCTTCAGAAGTCTTACTAAAAATAACGCCTTTGTGTCAAATTATATTCTAATCAGTTAAAAATGAAATAAGCCCTCTCACACAAAAGTACAAAAGACGCCTCGTGGATCACCCAAACCGTCAGGGCCAGATTGAAAAAAAAGTTTCTTCTGCATTAATCATCTAATTTAATATATAGGACCTGCGAGTTGCATTGGTCAGATGATTTGAATTTTTTCTACTTGTCTCCAGTTTTTCACCAAATGCTTTACTTGGTGTTAATTCCATACCGGACGGAAAAAAATTATGATGAACTCACGGAATCGCATCTTATACTGCGTTAAAATTCAAATGAAGCATTAACAAAAACATTCCTCGTCTAAATGACTAATTATAAAACGGCAATAATAACAATTGCTCTTTCTAACGAATATTATAACGAATTCTGTAAATTTTATTCTAACAAATCAAGCAAGGCAATAAAATTATAAGACTTTAGTTAATAAGATCTGGCGAATATGGAAAATTTCAAATGAAGCTAACGTATTCGAACGATTTTTAAAGTTAAAATAGCAGATTATTATTATTGATCTTTTTTTCCTTCAAAATAGACAGTACGTAGTAATGTATCTACGTTAAAAATATTTGCTAGCTCTGCAATTATAAACACGCTTGTTTGGAAGAAATAAATCAAAGCTTTCAAGGAAGTGAAATAAACGTACAATGCCATAATGTCTTATGATAATTACAAGCATTGAAAGAAAAGGTATGCATCGTTACTTTAGATTGCTATTTGTAATAATTATAAGTCTGGATTTTATTTGCCATTTTATGGTGTATGACCGATTTAGGCACTCATTGCAAAACATTATTAGGCTTTGGGTGTAATTTGTATAATATATGCCATCAAATTTTAGAAAAATAAACTATTGCAATGATTGCAATAACATAAGTCATTGCGGGTTGTGAATCATCATTTTGCATATTGTAATCGATAACAGTTGCTTCTAATTAGGGTCCATTTAGAAAATAGATTTCTGATTCAAATTATTGGATTAAAAGTAATCATTTTTTGGATTTGGAAGAAAAGACTAAAATGATAGCCTTTCTAACGATGGAAGCAACCGTAATATAAAATTCAACTAATGAAATTACTAATCAGATCACAAATCGAGTTATTTGCATCAAAAAGTACTATTTATAGATTTATTAATGATATTATCTTGGGTAACGCAAAAAGATGAAAGATTGTAAAATGCTTTGTTCGAGAAGAATGCAATAAATAATCGGCTGTATAAAGATTGCAAAAAAAAATAATAAATTATCGTTTATATAGAAAAAAAATTAATAGCGTAAATTATTCAGATTGCACGTTTATAGACGACGTAGAAGCGGATAGTAGGGCATTTGAAACCATGAATAAAAGTAAGAATAAATATCATTTTTTTCAGAATAATCAAATTCCGGAACATATTTCCGGCGACGCAAATAATTCCATCAGTGTTTCGTACTCTAATAAAAATTTTGCAAGCAGATAAACTAAAAACTTCCGGCTGATTGTATTTTTATAAAACGTTTATTAAAACATTCTTTGCTTGGAGGAATGACCGCTATTGCATATATTGCAATTACAATATTCGCGATGAAGACGTCTAGATAAATGCGTTTGAAAAACGAAAACAACTTTTATTGTGTGTTCGACATTCTCAGACGCAAAAAAATTGAAAAGAATAATGAGTACCTGAATACGTGCGCTCATCTAGGGTTACAATTCAGTTGAGAAGATGCTGCAACATGCTAACTAACTACCAAGATGAAAGATGCAATTGACTTACCTGAAAAAAAAGATAAATATTATAAAACATAAGATTGATTTTCAACATTCTCTAGTATCAAAGTATTCTTAACGATCCTAACGACATATTACAAATAATATAAAAACATACACACATAAATATTGCGTTTCCGTTGATAAACATGAAAATCTAGTAATTTTTTGTTTAATTCTATAATTATAGTACAAAATCTGAACTGCAACTTTTTTCTTTGATCGTGTTGCTTTTTAGTTTTATTTTAAATTGAGCGTAAACTTCTTAATGTTTTTATAACAATCATTAAATGAAGGTAATACGATATTATGCAGGTTTGATAATTTGAAAGTAGAATAACAGAACAATGGTTTTAAAAAGATTTACTTCATTTCAGGTCAAATCTATAATGATCATAACTCTTTTTATATTCTATATTTTTTGTACTTTCATACATGTTAATAATTATTGCAATTTGATGCAATATAAAGCTTAAAGCTAATTGCATTTAATTGTGATTAAGCTTTTTTCAAAATATTAAAAGTAGTACTAGTATACATGTACTACTATTCCACCCTTTTGTAACTCAATACAAAATTGAACAATATTTTTTTCATATTGAACAATTTGCTTTACAAAAAAGCTCAATTAAGTGCAATTAGCTCTAAACTTTATATTGCATTAAATATTGCTAGCTATTATAGCAGCTGTATATTGTCATTATAATTAATAAAATCACATCATATCGTCATTAATCATTTGCAAATTTAAAATTACTAGGTGTAAGTAGCATTTTGCCTTAAGGAAAGTTGCATGAACTTCCGATGTGTATGAATAATCGACTTAATATATTAATTTATAAGTGATGTAAGTATTGTATTACATAGAGCAATATAATGTAGAAAGCATTGCATTCAATTTGGAAAATTTTTTGGAAAATGTTAATTATTTTCGACAAATGTTTAAACAATTAAACGGAGTATTTTCTAAAAGTGCAACCGATTAATCCAGTTTTAAATTATTTGTTATTATTAAACCACTTGTCGTAAGCCTTTAATATTTTAGTAACTTGTTGAAGACCATTATCTCTATCATCAAAAAAAATTCATAGAAGTCTTTGTTCTTTTTTCAACAATTAATTACAAAAAATCAGTCCCGCTGATCTTAACCAAGATCTAATCATCGATTAGATTCCCAACCAATATGTTTATGGTAGTATTGGAATTTATAAAATCAATTCAGAATTTTTGGCTAAAACGTGGAAAATACATTTTGCACTTTTCTGCTAATTATAAAGAAACCGCTTTGCCAATCCACAACACTGATAAACGCGAGAACCTACCGAGTTACATACAATGGCTTTTAAATTTTTGAAATCGGTATAGCCGTTTTTGAAGATTGCTCGACAATAGACCAATTGGCGACCCACACATACACAAGCATATTTTTTCAAAAAATTTAGAATGTTTTGAAATATCGAGAAACAATACATTAGTTTCTGGATTTTTTCATGAAGCAACTAAACTTCTCCTTCGGGAAGTTAATTGTAAGTTCAATTTATACTATTGGTCATCATTATCTAGTTTGAAGTGTTCTATTATAATAATTTACAAAAAATAATCTCTAAATTATTGGACTGCAAAATGATCCTTTGATTAATATAATTTGATGGTGAACATCATATTCTCAGGTGTACGTCATAAAAGTAGAATGACAAATCAAATACCTGTGTGAAATAAAAAATGATATAATTCAGTTCTTGTGTGTTTTGCAGCCATTATGTAAACTTGTAGATTTCGCTTCACGTATGCGTGGAAGCACTATTCAAGTGGTAAACGTCCCATAAAAATAGATAAAATCGTTTTGTTTGTTAGAAAAAGGCGACTTAGTAGCCACGGTACCTGTAACGGTACTCTAGTCGCAATGACATCGCAAAAGAAGTCCGCTCGACTAATTAACGCAGATCTAGCGATCGGCAAATGTTATAATAGCAACTTATTTGCTGCAAGCGCGTGCTCCGACGACCAATGTGTTTTTCAAACTTCTGCTGTTCAGCAATGAAAGTAAATTTATTGAAACATTTCTAAAGTAATGTATGCCTATGCAGACTTCTGATTCAAATCTGGTATTTTATCCGCGACCTTCTGTTATCAATTACTCTTACAACGTTAGACTGATCTCTGTGCATATAAAGTCATTACTGATGCTTTGCCGGAGGGCAGGTCCATGGGGTAAAGAAATACATTGTTTATCTTTTCCTCTCTTGTTAGTCATTATAATAAATATTATTTTCGGTTATTAAAGAATTATAATTTGGCATATAAGTATTGTAACATCTCTTTAGTGAATAGTAAAGAGCCCAGCGTAAAGAAACTGAATATGATCAGCTGTGCCCATGGTACATGACTAAGTACATGATCCACAACGATCTGAATATACAAAAGGTGAAATTATCAATGGGCAGATTATGCCGCAAAATAGATCAATGTGATAGCAAGATTAAGTTATGGAGCAGTTTTCATATAAAGTGGTACTAAAAACTGTCAAAATCATATGAGGTTGTGTAGTCATGCAGTTGTGGGCGGTTTTCCATTAATCACGTGAGGTTTTTAGGAGGGGGGTTGAAAAAAATGAAACATTACGTGAGAGAGTGTAATCACCACGTATCACCAGTCTAAAAATCCCTAAAAAGTCAATCACGTGATTAATGGAGGCCCCCTTAGATAGAAAATCTAACCTACAAAACGAACAAATGTTAAAAAAACAATGCTATTATAACTGCATCTTTGAGATGGCTTATTAACATATGGGTAAAGTTCCTTTCATGTGTAAAATTTCTTATAGCACAGTAAATACATGGCATTTTGACAGTATTTAGTAGCATTTTGCATAAAAACGAACGTAACATAGTCTTGTTACAACATCGGTCTATTTTATGACAGGATCGGTCCATAAACTTCGAAATTCTGAAATAATAAATATTTTCATCACATCAATAACGAAATCAGTTTAAACAGCACAAAAATAAGAGGATTAAGCAAAGAATGGCAAAGAGAATTGCCGCAATATACAAAATAAATTTTCAGTATTGCGTGAAAAATTAATGATTACTATTTACTTAGGTCCCAATTCTCCGATAAAATAGAAATGCTATGGTAACTCTGTGCTATGAGTTTATCTTCATTTAAATTGGTAGTAAAACCTGTCAAAACTGTCTTTTGCAGTTGCAAAAGTCAAATAACAATTTTGTCATGAGTGCATCTTCCTGATATCACGATGATAACACATGCGTGAAGTTAGGTCTTATGTGTAAAATGCCTGATCGCACAAAAATACATAGCTTTTTCTAAATCTTACTACAAACTCATACGTAGATAGACCCTTAACATAGCGCTACCATAATATTTCTATTTTATCGCATAATTAGTCACTTAATATTTCTAACTCAGTTACTTATTTTATGCTTTTCTAGTATATTTTCAGATTTCATTTTTAATGAATCCAATTGTAACAAATTAAATAAATAAATAATTGTAAAAAGTATAAAGTTAATCTGAAGTTTGAAAGAGATTATTATAAAAATAATAATAATTATGATTATTATTATTATAACATTAGTTAAGATTATTAGACCCTACCCCTTACTAAATTGAAAATCAAACTTAAACATACTATATGTATATTTAGGATTGTTTTAAAGTTTAGTTTGATACTAAAAACTTGAGCTTTTATCAAAATTTGTTCCACACAATTGAAAAGCGTGCAACGGCCATGAGACTAACTCAATTTTATTAAGTAATCATGAACCTGGTTACAAGAATTTGAATCATCCAACATTATTATATAAACAAGTTTAATCTTCCTGATTGAAGCTATGAAAATATTATTTATACTGACGTCAAGTAATTTGAAATTGCATGGCTCGTGGATTAGCTTCAGCATTGGTAATAGTCACATTTTGCCTTCATATAATCACATCGCATGAATGACACGACGAACTCATCACCAAGAGTAACAAGAGGTATGAATCAATTGAAAAACTGTAATACCAGCAAAAACGTCCCATAAATATATCTCTCTTCTCGTAAAACCTAGCACAGTTATTCGAAAGACACTAAGAATTTACAATTTATTACAAATACATTTTTCAACGTAAGAAATAAAACAAGAAACGTTGCTCTGAAACAGAAAAAAATTACATAAAAAGATCAGAATCGAATAAAGCAGAGCACGAAGTCTAACCGAAACGGTTAATTTTTTACCGGCTAATGACACCTTAAATAAATATTTGTAGATTCTTCGATAGGAAAATAATGATGTTCCAGTAGAGCGCACCTATTATTTCGGTACCCATTCATTCGTCATATTTTTTCACATGGGATTTACATACAGCGACCATCATCTGAGACTGACATAGTCATTTCGTGAACAAAGTAACGTCAGGAGATGGATAGATGCGCGACACGCTAACCTACATCATGACAACTATGTGTACAAAATGCTATAAGGTACATACAGCATACTTCGCGGTCTATTTCATTTATATTGGAGTAGCTTAATTCCGTTAGAGGAGTCATTCGACTGGTAAACTTGTTTGCATATCTAAGAGCTTTTCCGAACCAAACACTTCGCGACGGGTGTAAGTAAGCATATGGTGTATGGAAACGAAAGCGCGTGAGCAACTTCACGCATGGGGACACAACGAAACAATCTGCACAACATTCATGTGCCATTCAACACGGACATATTTCTGTGGGTCAAAGGGTCCAATGAAGGACGTGTGCGCAAAATATCTATAATTCATGGCTTCTTAAACTATGGGTAGCGACCCCATTGGGGGTCGCGTAAGAAAATTATGGGGTCGCAAGAGATTTTAATGTCAAACATATCTATAATTTTATAACATCATGTCTAGACTTTTGTACATTTCACAACGAATTCTAAAACAATATATTTGCATATGTATATAGGAACATGTTATGTAATAAATAATTCTAAATCTATATCATAATCTAAACGAAATGAAT